CCCAGGCGGGTCTCGAACCTGCGGGCTCAGGCAATCCACTCACCTCAGCCTCCCAAAGGCGCGGGATGACAGGCTGAGCCACCGAGCCCGGCTCCATCCGGTTTTCTTAATAAAAATGTTTTAAGTCCTGACCCTCATTCACCCTTACTCCACCTCATTTGTAAAACGAGGGAGCAGGGTGACTCTGTGTTGCAGCGTGGGCCCCCGGGAAGCTCGGAACCTGTTTCCAGGAGCTCAGAAATCCTCAGGAGACTGTCTGGACCCCCCAGTGGGCCACACACCCTGGGCTGGATTCACACCCCCTGAGCCGCGGTCCCAGTGGCTCCCACGGGGTCCCAGGTGGTCTCTGGAGATCAGGACCCCGACTGTGATTGTCCATGGCTACACCTTCCCTTGATCCCGAGTGAAGTAGGGATGGGGTCGCTTGTTTGGCAGACAAACCCCGTGCCCACGGCCGACAGGGGAAGGTGTGCAGGGGAGGCCTGGGGACAAGCCAGCAGGTGAGTGGACAAGGGGCAGCCCAGGCGTGGCCCGGGGGGGGGCTGAGAAGACCCCGGGGACACTCACATTGCTGATCTGCTCCTTGAGCAGACAGATGACCTTCCGCTGGCCCCGCACCACCTGGATGTTGAGGTAGATCACGGCCCTGTGGGAGATCGGCGGTCGGGCGGGGCACAGAGCAGCAGCCGGGGACGCCCCCACCAGGTGCGGCCTGGCCCCAGCTGTCTCTCTCTGGGCCGCCCTCACCTGCCCTGAACTCACAGCAGCAGGGCTGACACCAGGAAGATGAAGAAGGTATTTTCCACCAGGTTCCGGTGCACCCAGGGCAGCCAGGAGACCCTGGGGCCCGCCCTCTCCAGGAGGCGCACCCACACCGTGCCCGCCTGGTACATGGTGTCCAGGGTCCGGAAGGGGCCGCAGATGCTGGAGGGCTTCACCCTGGGGAAGACAGGACCGAGACCCTCAACCCGGGCAACGCCCCCTCTCCCAGCCTCTCCACCTCACCCCAAATCCTCAGGCCCCAGGCACCACCACCAGATCCTGGGATGACCCAGAGGGGCAGCCCCGTGCCGGAGTACTCACTGCCAGACGGCGTAGCAGAAGAAGATGGCGGCGCCCAGGAAGGACGGGAAGCAGAGCAGCGTGAGGAAGACGGTGCTCATGTGTGAGGCCAGCCAGGGCCGGCGCGGCGCCTGGCAGTTGGCCAGCAGGCTGGTCTGGGGGACAAAGGCTTGTTCTGCCACCGCCCTGCCACCCAGGCACCCCACCCCCAGGCCTGGTGGGGCCTCCAAGAGGGAAGGCGGGAACGCGGGCGGGCGGTCGAGGCACTGTGCCTCCTGGCAGGACCTGGGTGCCCAGGGCTGCTGGGCCCACCTCCTCATTTAGGGGGGAGACGGAGGTACACAGGCACAGCTTGTCCAAGGCCACTCTCGTGGGAAGGGCTGACTGACACCGACAGCAGCTCCATCACGTGCCATGCCAGACTCAGCACCCAATGCCCTCCCCTCCTCGGTCCCACTAGCATCCCGTGGTCCCCACGGTGCAGATGAGGAATGGTGGGCCAGGGAAGAGGAGCCTGCCCGGAACCGGGATCTGAACCCAGGCCCCTGGTTCTCAGCCACGGAGCACGCCCCCGCTGAGGGCAGAGGACCAGGGACCGGGAGGGCCTGAGGCTCAGAGTGTCTCCCCGAGCCCCAGCCCTGGGCTCTGTTCCTAGGCCCCGGCCTGGTGACGCAGGCACCTGGCGATGACCTCTGAACCCAGCAGATGCTACCCAGCCTGCCCGAGACGGTGATGCCGGGAGGGGGTCACCCGGTTTCCTGCCGGCCCTGCTCCACGAGCGGGGTTTTCCAAAGTCCTAGGGTCTGCCCAGCGTAGTGCACCCGGTGGCTGCCAGGCCGCCCGCCCGGCCCAGCACCCATCCTGGGCCCGTCGGCAGCATTACCTTCTTGACATAGAAGAGCAGCAGCAGCTTGATGATTTGCACAGCGGGGAGCAGGGGTGAGAAGAGGACTCCCAGCCTGGGCAGGGGGGCTGTATTCAGAGGCTGGGCATGAACCCTGTGTGGTCCGCCAGGGCTTGAGCGGCCTCCCGGGCCTGGCTCAGAGTTGGCACAACCTGCCCCCGTGGGTTCTGGGTCATGGGGAGGGCAGGTGGGCGTGGCCGTGGCTGGGTCCCCGGGAGGGGAGGGGTCGGGCCCCGTCCCTCCAGAATCCCAAGGCTGTGGCCCCAGGAGGAGGCAGGTGCAGGGCTCCCGGGGGGAAAGGGCTCTGACTGAGGGGCTCGGCCCTCCCCAGGGTGTCTCGCAGCAGGAGGACGGGCGCACCCTCACCAGGTCAGAGTCTGTCCGTAAATCAGCTCTAGAACGTTCCGGGCAATGTCAAACTCAGGCTTCCGCCTCCTCTTGAGTTTCTTCTCAGAGATGGCCCTGGCCAGCCCAAGAGGGAACCCCTGGGGGTCAGATGGAAGGGCCAGGCCAGGGTCTGGGGAGACCAGCCTCAGCACCCACCCTGGCTGGCACCCAGGGCCTGGGACCACTAGCCAAGCTGACACCTGGCCCATCCCTCAGAGCACCCAGCAAATGTCACAGAGATACCACCTCCACCTGGGGACCCCGCCACAAGGGCTGGGTACCAAAGCCAGCTTCCTCCCGGTCTTGTTTCTAAGCAGACATAAACATGCCCAGATCCAAACACACAGAAACATGCGTTAAACGCCTTCCTGGCTTTTCAGACATCTTACTTTTTACTATTATTAAGTCCACCTATTCTCAAAGAAAACGCAAAAAGGAAACAAAACACCTGAAATGTGAGGACCCAGGGCAGACGGCCCAGGGTGATTTTTGAGACCAGCCTGGGCAATAGCAAAACCTCATCTCTGGCCAGGCTCGGTGACTCAGCCTGTCATCCCAGCACTTTGGGAGGCCGAGACGAGTGGACTGCCCGAGCCCGAGGGTTCGAGACCCACCTGGGCAACTTGGGGAGACCTCGTCTCTACAATAAATCAAAAATTAGCTGGGCATGGTAGCATGTGCCTGTAGTTCCGGCTACTTGGAAGGCTGAGGCGGAAGGATCGCCGGAGCCCAGCAGGGCTGGGAGTGGTCGGGAGCGTGCCACTGCACTCCAGTCTGGGTGACAGAGACTCCAAATCAAAAAAAAAAAACAAAAAAAAAACAAACCTCGTCTCTACAAAAAAAATTTGCCAGGCATGGTGATGCATGCCTGCAGTCCCAGCTACTCAGGAGGCTGAGGCAGAAGGATCGCTTGAGCCCGGGAGGCTGTGGTGAGCCATGATCAAGCCACTGCACTCCAGCCTGGACAACAGAGTGAAACCCCAGCTTTTAAACAAAACAAAACAAAACCCTGTTTTCCTCTCCAATCTAAAAATGCAGTAGATCCTGTCCCATAAGCATTTTCCTGGTCTAACAACCTTTCACAAAGGTGCTGTTGTGGACGGAGGCCAAGAGGCCTGTGACCTCCTGGGCCACACATCCCTGCCAGGCAGGATGCCCAGAGGGATGCGGATGTGGACAGGCCGCCCCAGCCCGCCCAGGGCCCCTCACCTCCACACGAGCTCCCCGAAAAGCGTGTCCAGCAGCGCGAAGACAAAGTCCATCACCATGAACCGGTACAGCTCCTGGCCCACGAAGTCCTCCCAGCACTGGCCCTGCAGGGCGCCCACCCTGCGGCCCAGCCAGTGGTAGCACAGCGTCCCCAGGACGACCATCTTGAGGAAGAGGTTCCTGCAGGGGCCAGGCGTGGAGGCTGAGGGCCGGGGTGAGGACCCCTCCCCACCTGGCCTCTCAGCTTTGCCTGTGGGGGACAAGGGCCTTTCTCGGCTGTCCCTTCCCTGTTCCCTGTGGACATGGGTGGACTCTCAAGGGAGCTCCCGAGGGCAGTGGACAGTGGCCAAAAGCCTGGTCTTAGCTCTGAGTCTGTGCAGCACAGAACCTCAGAAAGCAGAGAACCTTCCAGAAGCCCCAGCTCTGCCGTTCCCTCGCCCCGCAACCTCTGGCAAGGGACTTGAACCCTGTGCCTTGGTTTCCTCACTGCAGCATAGGAAGATATGACAGCCCTCACCCGCTGGGCTGCCGTGGCCACTGAGGACACCCCGGGTCCCGCCCCGCTGGCCACACACCTGCAGACGGCCACATACACCTCCAGCACCGGGGAGTCGTGCTGCTCCAGGGCGGCCAGGCCACGGCACAGGTAGGGGGCCCCCAGGTTGAGGAGGGAGACCACCAGGGGCAGGGCCAGCAGCGCCACTTCCCGGCCGGCCACGACCGGGCTCTGCCAGGGCAGCAGAGGGGCAGGGTCACCCCAGGTGCCCCGTCCATGGGGATGAGCAGGACGAGTGAGGTAGGGCTCCCTGACGTCCAACCCACCCCAGGCCTCGGGGTCGAACCACACAGAAGTGGAGAGGGAGCATGGGTACGGCCAAGGAATGGGAAACCAAAAAGAAGAGGCGAAGATGGGAGCAGGTGGGAGACAGGTATGGGGTGGGGACTGGAGGTGGCTCCAGCATGGGGGCATCAGGGAGGGCAGGTGGGCGTGGCTGTGGCTGGGACCCCGGGAGGGGAGGGGTCGGGGCCCGTCCCTCCAGAATCGCCAGCCTGTGGCCCCAGGAGGAGGCAGGTGCAGGGTTCCCGGGGGACACGTCCTCAGGCAGGGCCAGGCTCACGCCCCCTCCCTTCCGCCTTCCTTCCCTCCCTCCTTCCCCCCTCTGGCCCTCCAGGCACCTGGAGCATGAGCTCCGAGAAGGCGTGGACGGCCACCGCGCAGCCCAGCACGGTCCCCAGACACAGCAGCCACACGATCCCCAGCACGGCCGCCTGCCGCATCTTCCCACACACGCTCCGGGGTTCCTGCCGCAGCCGCCACTCGGCCAGCAGCTCCTGCAGGGGGCAACGTGTCCCTGTCACCCACTCTAGGGCAAGACCGCGTGCAGACGTGCAGACACACACAGCACATACACACATAACACACGAGACGTGCGACACGTGCATGACACACACAACATACACAGACGCACAACACACCAGCAGGCTTGGAGGGACCAAGGGTCAGCTGCCCAACGTGCCCGCCTGCCCGGCCACCTGCTCCATGCACACAGGACCTAGTAAGTACCCTGCCCGGGGGCTCCGAGGCCTGCCTGACCCCTCCCCACCTGGCCTCTCAGCTTTGCCTGTGGGGGACAAGGGCCTTTCTCGGCTGTCCCTTCCCTGTTCGCTGTGGACAGGGGTGGACCCTCAAGGGGGCTCCTGGGGGCAGTGAACAATGGCCATAAGCCCGACCTTAGCTCTGAGTCTGTGCAGCACAGAACCCCAGAAAGGCAGAGTACCTTCCAGAAGCCCCAGCTCTGCCGTTTCCTAGCCCTGCAACCTCTGGCAAGGGACTTGAACTCTGTGCCTTGGTTTCCTCACTGCAGCATAGGAAGATACGACAGCCCTCACCCGCCGGGCTACTGTGGCCACTGACCGAGGCCCGGGGCCCTTGGACAGGATGCACCAGCTCCCAGAGAAGGGCCGAGGGCAGACTGAGCTCTCCAGCCTGAGCACGCCCGCCCGAGACTGCACAGAGTTCTTCCTAACGCTGGCTCCTGGGTGTTCACTGGGCCATGGTAACAGCCACTAGCAGACGACAGAGGCAGCCCCGGAGAGAAAAGTGGAGCCTGTCCTGTCACCGTCGGCAGGAACCCCCAGCACCCCGATTCAGCTCACAGACAGGTGGCCCTCCCACCAGACCACAGTTCTGGTCGTGTCATCCCATGTGGACCCAGGGCCAAGTCTTCGGGGAGCCCAGCAGGCCAGCGTGTCATCCTGGGGCCAGGGAGGAGAAAGCGGCTGCAGCCTCGGGCAGCCCAGGCCACTCACCTTCAACCGGGTGCGGACGCTGTCGTGCTGCAGGCGGGAGGCCCGCTTCTGAGTCACCTTGTAATCCCAGGAGCAGAAGACGGTGATGGCGTGGACGCCAGAGGCACTGCCCACCCGGTAGCTCTCCCCGAAGGAGTGAGCCATGCTGGGGAGGAGCAGGGCAGGCAGTGGGTGAACGAGGGGCTGAGGGGCACAGAGCCCCAGGGGAGAAGACAGCCGGGACACTGCAGCCGGAACCCAGACACGCAGGAGCCCTCTGAGTGCTGGATGGGCCTCCCACCGACCCCAGCCCCCGCTGGACCAGGGCTCTCAGCCTCACTCTAAACCAGTCCCGACCAACAGAGCGCCCGCCAGCCACCCACACCCAGACAAGGGGGTGGGGCTGCAGGCACCACTGACAGCCCGCTGCCTCCCACCAAGACACAGTACAGCAGATGCTGGGCTCACCTCAGGCCATTGCACTGCCCGTCCCCGGACCAAAACCCTCCTGCTTCTTTCCTGCCCTCTTATTTAACCACCCCATCTCAGGGTAAGTGTCACCTCTCCCGGGAAGCCCACCTGACTGTTTCCGGTGTTCCCCTAACACCTAGGCAAACACCTCGAGGGTTCCTAGACCATACGTGGGAATGTTTGTGGGATACATGGGTGGGTAAGTGGGTGGATGGATGGGTGGGTAGATGGACGGTAGATAAATGGGTGCACAGATGGATGGATGAATAGATGGGTGGGTGGGTGCGTATATGGGTGAATGGACAGGTGGGTGGATAAGTGGGTGGGTGGGTAAGTAAGTGAACAGATGGGTGGATAGGTGGATGAGCAGATGACGGAGCGGGTAGATGACTGGATGGATGGACACATGGGTGAGTGGAAGGATGGGTGGATGATGAATGGGTGATGGGAGGACGGATGAGTGGTGGACAGACGGTTCGATGGCAGACGGACGGGTGAATGGATGACAGCTGATGGAGGGACTGCCGGGTGGGTGGGTGAGTGAATGAATGGGTAGGTGGAGGGACGGGTGGGTGATGGACGGGTGATGGGTGGATGGGTGATGGGTGGGTGAATGAATGGTTGAGTGAGTAGACAGGTAAATAGGTGATGTATGGACGGTTAAATGGATGGGTGGGTGGATGGGTGGGTGGATGGGTGGGTGGATGGGTGGGTGG